CTCTCTCTCTCTCTCTCCCCTCCCTCCCCCTCCCTCTTTCTCTTCAAAAAAAAAAAAACCCCAAGAAAAATGTGCTTAAGGTGGGAAAATGTTGCTGTGGACAAGCAAGTAGCCTTGCAGGTATTTTTCTTTCTTTCCTTTACAGGACTACGTGTAGATCTGTACACATTCTTCACTGTACTTAAAACAAATAAACTGTTAAAATTGGCATATGACTTTTGGAGGAAGCTGATTGGTGTCATTTCTTTGCACAAGCTTTCCAGTTGTCCGTGCCAGTTGTATGTTGCTGATAATGAGTGTTCTGCAATCTGCACTCTCCAGTAGTGTGGACTTTGACTCCCAGAATTCCCCAGCCAGCACAACCATTACTGAGAATTCTCGGAGTTGAATTCTAGAAACAGCCTAGGTTGGGGAAGGATGTCTTAGGGGATTGATGATTAACACAGTTATATTGCCAATGCTCCTGTGGAGAGTTGAGAGAGCCAGAGGAGATTTCATTATGTGAAAGGACAGTAGGGACAAATTCCATGCAGCGGGCTATACTTGTATGATCCACCGAACCACAACGAAGTCAACCACATTTTAAGCTAGCATGTTGTGATTCCTGCCCTCTGGTTAGCCTACAGCACAGCGGATCATGGGAACCCAAAAAAGGATTAAATACCTGATCAGTAAGATTTCGCAGCTGGCTATATCTTGCTAGCCTTGTCAACACAAGCTCAACTTGTGGGTCTCCTTATTGTAATTGTTTACAGAACTTCTGAGAGATGGCTGTTAACAACATGGGCCCCCTTCCAACCACCACTACCTTTTCTTGGTGGACATGTTCTTTTTCTTAGCTAAATTTGTCTTAGACCACTGGGGTCTGAAAGAAAAATAAATAGCATAGTCCCAGCCAATTGTTACATCAAAACCATGTACAACTATACCCAAGAGGCAGCAGCCTGGTTCGTCCAGCATATTAAGACACAATGCAATTGGTTTGGTTTGGTTTGGTTTGGTTTGGTTTGGTTTGGTTTGGTTTGGTTTGGTTTGGTTTGGTTTGGTTTGGTTTGGGCATCATGTGTTAGGCAGTCTAAGGGAAAATGGTTTGTTCAGTAAGTTGTAGTTATTATTATTAATTATTAAATTTATATGCTGCCCACCTCCCCCAAAGGGCGACTGTGGACAGCTCAATTAAAATCCAAAACAGTAAAATAATAAAAATATAAATATCCATATTAAAGTTAGCTGATAACAATTCTATATAAAAAGACTATACACAATTCAAGATGATGGGAGCAGTATCGATTATCCCACCAGCCAATCCCGACAATGTGAGCCTCCATCAGGCCTCCAGGCCATCACAGCATAGTTAAACTGTTAAACTATGGTTTAGCACAGTCTGTGACCCCAGTTACTATCTTTCAGCTCTACGTAATCCATGCTTGATCTCACTATACTAGGCAATAACGTTGAAATGGGGATTTTAATGCATTTGATGTAAGCAAATGGTCCTTGCGCATTCAAGTGAATGTTAGTAGAAGCCCCACTTGGCAAGCTTGGACTAAGGATGTTGAAGGCAGGGTTTCTTCGTGGGGCGATATTCCCTGCTTCCCTGGAATTTGGTCACTTGCTTTTCCACCAGCCATCATCTGCCTTGCCATAGCTGGCTCTACTGTTAGACAAGATGAGATGGCTGCCTCCAGTGGCAAATGCTTGGTGTGAACAGCAGCAAGATGCTAGAAAGCAGAACTGCCTGCTTTTCACGGGTTGCTTCCTGTGTCTTCAAAGCTAGCCTGCTGCTTTCAGCCACCATGGAGGTTCCTTCACTCATGTAGAAATGCTGTCCAACTTCCTATCGGTTCCTGGATGTAGATGTTGGTATGGACCATTTAATTTTTTGGCTTAGCCACCAAAACACCTGAAGCTGGTTTGATGTCATTTGGGCAAAAACCCAACAGGGTTCAAGATTTAGCTGTTGTCCTCCATCTGGCCTTATTGAAAGGTCTTGTTACTTCAAACTGCCAGAGATAGAAAGCTGCAGATCAAGGAAGATCTGTACTATCATCCCTTTCAATGTTGAATCCCTCAAGCATTCCTTCTTCCCACTCCTTTTGGAAGGAAGAGCCTGGAATTCATCATGTTTTGGGCCAGACAAAATTAAAGGAGAGAATGGGGCTTGTAAATGATCCAGCATTCAGAAGAGATGCATCAACACTTCTTTTTTTTTAAAAGAAACACCATAATACTTCCTTTTTCCTCCTGAGGAATTGAAAAAAACTTTAAAAATTCAGTGCAATGTGTTCAAATATATATTTGGATAAAACATCATCTTGATTTCATTCTGCATAAGATGTTTTGGGTGTAGTGGGCTCATGTACAGATTTCAAAGCTAGTGTTTTTTCATATTTTACAGATGTGAATATCTTTAAGTAATAACTGTTACACATTTTGCTTTTTGCATTCTATTTTCTTTTAACTTCACTGCTTATAATTTCATCCTGCCCAACATACTTATAAAAAAGTGAATATACACATCTCTTTCTATCTCTGCATCTCTCCTCTTAATTAACTCCTAATTATAAATTAATTTAACAGTGTTTCTGAGAAGTGTGATGAACTTTGAGGGTGGCTGAGAGGTGCAGTCTGGGTAATCTCATAAATGATCTTTGGCAAACATCCTCCAATATAAAATTCTTGGCTAAACTCCCTTTCTTTGTGTATTCTCTTGTTAAAACAATCCATGATGCCCTGACTTTCAGATGCCTGAGGGTTCAGATGGAAGACTTCTGGCATGTTAACACTTGAATATCTGCCAGACTGAAGACAAGAAGTCATTTACAAATGGGTGCCCTCTTGAGGTTAAATCTGCTCTTGTGCAAAATGCAAATTTTTATTAAGGCAGGATGCTAAAAGATACATCCATCAGCGAAGTTAACTTCTTTCTATTCATGCATGAGAAGCAAAATTTCTACTGGCTGAATTGGGAGTCTTTTTCTTGCCTTCCTTTATGTATTTCTATTTATTTGGGAAATGCATAAACTATCTATAACTGAGTTTCCAAGGAGAGAGTTGTTTATGGGTGCAACAAACTGAAAGGCTGAGTCAGAGATGGTACAAGCCTTATTGGTCCCTATAAAATGCAGTTCACTCACTGCTAAGTCTAAGAGGGATTGTTCAATTTTGGCTTAGTGCATTGAATAAAAAGTAGAGTAATAAACTGGTTATTAAGAACCATGTAAGCTAATGAACTAAAAATAGAGTATGTTAGAAAGATCTGACATTATTGTAACAGATCTCACTTGCACTGTTCTGATCTAAGACTGTATGAATCTACCTTCTGAGACAGATTCTTGGCCCACCTGGAATCCACCATCTCATCCAGTATCTGGAAGTACCCGTGACTGAACCAGGTGCCTTTGGGATATGAAACACTCTGCTGCTAAATATGGTTTCTTCTTGAGTAAGGATTCCAAACATCAATTTTAGTTGGGTTATAAGATAAGAAACTTTCTTCCCACCCCCTTTCTGGTATAAGCCGGACAAATGTGGAACTTCTAAATTGTTCTTGCTGGGCTATAAGGGTTAAAACAAAATTAGAAGCTGGAAGGTGAAATAAACGGTCATTGCCACAGCAGCCACTTGCCAAAAGATCAGGCAAACTATTTATAGATTCTGCTGTAGATAATACTTGCTTAATATTTGTAGTTCTGCATGCCCTGGATTTTGAATTTCAATCCCTTAGCCACTGTAACCTATTTTAACCATCTCTGCGTTGTAATCTCCTCTAGGCATGGTCAACCTTGCTGTGCTGGAAATAAGTTTTGCTCATTGCAAGCAAATAACATGTCCAGTGTTTTCTACTCTAGCAGTAATTGCTGATGTATCCCAAGTACCATAGAAAGTTCTTGGCCTGGCTTGAAGAAACCACAGCTTCATATAGATACCAGATGCTTCCAAAGCATCATATTATTATCTTGCCATATATCACTCATCCTTCTACTTTCAAACTCTGCATTTGCATGCCAAATTCGACCATGCTAAGAAGGTGGCAGCAAACATCAGCAACTCCTGCAGGGAGGAGTTGCAGTTGGTTTTTCCATACCAGATTCTACAATACATGCAATTGTATTTCTTTGGAATGATCATCTGCTGCCATAACGTCTACGGCTAGCAATATCTCTAAAATTTATTTAATAAAAAGAATCAAGAAAGATTTCTGACTTCTAGTTCTTATGGCTTGAAAGAGCAGAATAATTTTAGCGGCTGCTGTTCTTTCTTGGTCTCCTACTTCTGTAGTATCTCACCTGATGAAGAATTCTGGGGACCTCAAGAGCTTACTTGAGTATCTAATCAAGATATTACTCAACTATGAATTTTAGATTAAAAAAAACTTATGGGTTTAATAATTGCAATAACAAGAAGAAAAAACATTATACACCTAGATTATATTGATGGAATGAAGAACATTTAATGTAAACAGGAGTTTAGTTCAGGTCTGCTAATTCAGAGAAAAAAATCTCAGATGTGTACCTGTGTGA